CAGAAGGGAGAGATACAGCTCCATATAGAAACACAAGTAGCACAAGCAGTACATTAATACAGATACCCCCAGAAATGTACCCATAATAAATGAGCACACCCCAAAGTGATGGGTAAATCTAGTAACACATGAGATGATCACTTTCACCTCCAATGTAAGTCAGGGAAATTGGGCAGTAGGGTAGAAATCCTTAATTTTAGGAAAGCTGACTTTCACAAGAGGAGTACTTAGCAACAGCCTAGACATGTAGGGAACAGATCAGGACAGCAAAAGCACAAACTGAATACAGATTGGCAACTGGACTTAAGGACAACAAAAAGTCCTTCTTTAGATATGTAGGAAGTCAGAGAAAAAATAAGGGAAGCATAGAGCTCCTGATGAATGAAATGGGATGGCTGATAATGGACACTCAGGACAAAACCAAACTCCTGAATGAATACTTCACATCAGTATTCCACCAGTCCAAGGCTGTTCACCTGCTTGACAGGATATAGGATAATCATGGTGGGGGTGGCCACCCTCCCATAGTTGGCAAAGATGTTGTGGGGAAACATCTAAAAAGGCTAAATATCTACAAGTCAGCAGGTCCAGATGAACTACACTTGAGGGCGCTAAAAGAACAGGTGGATATCATTGCGTGACCTATGGCAAAGTTATTTGAAGACTCATCGTGCTTGGGAGAGGTCCCAGAAGTTTGGAAGAAGGCCAATGTGGTGCCTATTTTTAAGAAAGGGAGAAAGGAAGACCCAGGAAATTACAGGCCAATCAGTTTGACCTCAATCCCTGGTAAAATCCTGGAGAAAATTACCAAAGAATCCATTACAGACAGGCTAGCAGAAGGTAGAATTCTGAAGGATAGCCAACACGGCTTCATTACAGGCAGTTCATGCCAGACCAACCTCATTTTCTTCTACAATCAGGTATCACCACCTGCAGAGGGGAAATGAGGTTGATGTTATATACTTAGACTTCTAAAAGGCCTTTGACCTGGTTTCCCACACAGTCCTCATGGGAAAATGTGGCCTTGACTACTTCATGGCCCGGTGGCTAGGTAACTGGCTCTGTTGTAAAACCCAGAGAGTATTGATTGATGGAACTGAGTCATCATGGTAGAGGGTAACCAATGGTGTCCCTCAGGGTTCAGTACTTGGACCAGCGCTTTTCAACATGTTCACTAACAATTTGGATTCACGTATTAAAAGTGAACTAGCAAAGTTCACTGACAACACCAAACTACAGGGAGCATGGTCATGCTTGAAGGCTGGCAATACAGACCAACCTGGTCAGGCTAGTGGCATGGGTGGACCTCAACTTGGTGTCGTTTAATACAGATATGTAAAATACTCCACATGGGGAGAAATAATCCACAGCACACTTATAGGCTTAGCAGCACTATGCTTGCTAACACCACATCTGAATGAGACCTGGGTGTTATGACAGACAACAAAATGAACATAAGCTACCAATGTGATACTGTAGATGGCAGAGCTAATCAAACACTGGCATGAATCTACTGAGGCATCTCAAGCAAAGCTAAGGATGTCATCCTCCCTCTCTACTTGCCCCTGATGAGAACACAGCTGGAGTATTGTGTCCAGTTCTGAGGGGCCGCGCTTCAGGAAGGATGTAGAGATGCTTAAGGGAGTCCAAAGGAGGGACACACACATAATTAGAGTCCATATGTGGAGAGGATGAAAAACTTGGAACTGTTCAGCCTGGAGAAGAGAAGTCTCAGAGGGGACTTGGTGGCAGCCTATAAATACATCAAGTGTGTACATGAGGGCCTGGGGGAATATCTGTTCACCAAGGGCCCCCAGGGGAGGACAATCAATAATGGGCACAAATTACTAGCAAGGGAAAGACTCTGGAGGTAGTCAAGCATTTCCCCAATCTCAGTAGCCACCTCTCTTAGAGTGACCATTGAGGATATCCAGCACAGGATGTGGCATTCATGTGCCTCTTTTGGGAAATTGCTTTGGCATGTCTTTATTCATTGCAGTCTCCAGAAAGACACCAAGATCCAGGTCTACAATGCAGTCATCATCATCCCCCTTCCTATACAATTGTGAAAAGTGGGTGATCTAATGTTGTGATCTATAGAGCCCAGAGAGGTATCACCAACGCCTCTGGAAAAGCCTCCACATCAAGTGGGATGATATCTGCACAAACATCAGCATCCTTACTAAAGCCAATATTACCAGCCTTGAGTAGGTGATCCTGAAGTACTAACTTTGCTGGACTGGACATTGTATGTGGATGTTCAACTCAACTACCAAAACAAGTGCTCTGCTTCAGCTTAGCAATGTCTTGAGATCTTGCATTGGCCAGAGAAAATACTACAAAGACAAAATCCAACGCATACCTCAAGAAAATGGATGCTGACATCAAAAACTGGATGGAGCTGAGAGTTGACCAAATCCAATAGTGCTGCAACCTCAGCTAAGTGGCATCCCCTTTCTAGATAAAGTGTCTTGCCCTCAAAGTAGAGAAGAGAAAAAGAAGGAAGGAAAAGGAGAGAAATCCTATCCTATGGCCTATACTCCTCTGTGGAAGGACCTGCAACTTCTGTGAACAGGTCTGTTGCTCAAGGTTTGGGATCTTAATTCACCTCAAGATCCATCAATGCATCATGGTAGAGATCATTCTTGAATAGCAGTCATCCTTGGGGCATTGCCAATGATATAGAGAACAGATGATAAAAAGTGGGATTGATGTTATTAAACTATAGATTATTCACAATTTTCCCCTAGAAAGAAAAAATAAATCCTTCCTCTACCAAGACCTGAGCCCCAGCCTAGGAGGAAACATACAGTCTTAGAACTGTAAGTCAGTTCCTCTCACTGAGCTTTAACAACCTGAAGTATTGACCTTGCTTTCTGCCCAATCAAATAACATTTACACTGCTGATGTTCAGAGCAACCCTTACACTTATCTTTTAGGTGACACTAATTAATGCTGTGACAAAAATCAAAACCACTCTAGGGAAGAAACATGCTCACAGTTCAGATCAAAGTTAATAGTACCAAACTAACAGCTACACTTAATCAAATTAGGAGTTAAGATACACTGATCTCTAGCCAGTTTGGTCAATTACATCTTATACATCTATTAATGTATTTCACTAAGTCCAGCCTAGAATTTAGACTAAGAATTCAATTCTCCAGTGCTGTTAGCTATGCATATCATATTTTAATTGGCTAAGAATGTAAATATATTTGTTTCATTTTCTGTGGTACTATGAATGTGGGAGTGATAGCTAGAAAATGATATTCAGAGATTTGCGTTTAAGAATTGGCTTACAGGTAAAGTAGATATTGCATTAGAACAATGGTACAGGGAAGCAGCAAGGGTTAATTGGTTTCTAAAAGTCTGTTTGTGATAAAGTTACATGTTCTCAGTTTTCAAGGCCCATAGTGTTGGAAGCCAACAGACAAACAGGCTAGGAAATTCAAGATATAGAACACATTGTTCCCTGAAAACCATAACAAAGGTAGGCTTGCCATGTTGGCATCGTCACAATGTCCACCTACAAAGCCCCTGAGATTTCCAGTTTTTGTGAAATGACCAAATTATGAGGCCAGTCATGCCCAAATTAACATCCCAGTAAATTACCAAATTAAGATGTATGCATGTGATGGGTTTATGGGAACAAAGAGTTATGCTGACAGAACAGAATGTGGATAGCATGATGACCACTGGGAGAGCAATCAATGATGCGTGGAAACAAATCATCAGAGCAGAAAGAAGACAAAAAGAAGGATTTCAGGGTAACAAAGGATCCCTGAGGGTGGGATCTGAAGGCAACCGTAGACAGAGGGCACACCACCAGCCCATCTCACTCACCCCACTGTGGGGGGGAGGGGGGAAGGGGGGGAGGACTAAGCCTTGGCCCTTGACCTTGAAGACTTGGGTTATAATATTTAATTAGGTTGTGTCTTGAAACTTGTTCTACTTTCATTGTAATGACAGAGGATTCTATGTTAAAATTAAGCTTATTAGAAGAAACGGGTAATATGCCTACAATGTATGTAGGAACCGAACTGCACTGTAAGATTATTTACTGGAATAAAGCTCTATCTATTAGTCTATCTAAAAAATGATCATCCATGAATTGAAATAATTTACATAGGACCAAATTTAGATGCAGGGGGAAAAAAAAAACATTTTTGAGAATTTGTCTGCAATGGTGTTGAATATCAATAGGTAGACTTGAAGTCTTTATGGGCTTGATCCATGTTTCAGTGCCATAAAATAGAAGCTTTTCTACTTGCCTCAAAGTGAACATGTTCAGGACCCAAATTGGCACTTACCATAAAAATGCATATATTTCTCTAGTGGTCTGCTTGTAGTTCTATACCTGAGGCAGGTTAAAAAATTTTGATATACTATTTAAGGGTTAAATTAACTTAAGTCAGATTTATTGAAAATTATATAGGAATGTAATATCCCAGAATCTAATCTGAGACATCCTATTAATTTAAATGTAGTTATACTAGAAGAGAATATTGACATATTAGACTATGCAGTTTTAAGCATCTCTACAAAAGGATTTCTTCATGACTAAAGATAGATGGAATCTTATTGGTTACAACTTGCAAATTAACATACATAGAGCACAGGACAACAACAGCAGAACTGTTCATTGCTTAATGTGAAAACAATATTCACTCATCCAAGTTGCACTGAAGTTCATTTGAACTAAATAAAAAAAGGAAAATAAAATTGCGCTAATAGATGCAGTTAGACATATCTGGTTGTGAATGACATACTGGCTTGCCCCCAGACAGTGCCTGAATTCTATACTTGAATATAAATAAAAGGTAAGAAAATCTCATATGGGATAAAGTGCATCTGAGTTTTTAATTGACCCCAATTTAGTGAGGACTAACTAGTATTAGTTAACTTGCTATTGATTGGTGTTGGTAACACACATTATGGCTAAACTACCATTATTAGTAGCTTTTTGTTTGTCTAACTTCTCTCTCTCCTACTGGTTGCAGCAGAAAACTGTCACACAGATCTGTCTTCCCATTGTCTGCATCCGATGTGTCATGGATTGTGATATTCAAAGCCTGGATAAGGCAGATGAGGTTAGATACCAGCTGTGCTACTTCAAAGTCTCCAAAGAAAATATTAAATTCTATATGTAGATGTGGAAGGAGAAGCCCTGGGAAGGGAGGAAAGCCTGAGGGTACCTCCTCTCTGCAATTTACCCAGGTGGAGCAAGGAGCACCCTTGGGGACTGGAGTACCTTGTTGTTTTTCTGAAGTCAGTGCTCACCCTGGATTGGTGGTAGCTGAGCCCAGAGAAATAATTCTGGCCCTGGACAGGGGCAACTAGGGAGAGAGTGTAGCATCCTAGCAGAGGTGATGCTGAAGGATGCTCCTGCCATCACCTGCCTTGAGCCAATTGTGGTGAGAGGGTACACAGCAACCAGCAAATTTGTTTGCAGGATCGCCAACCTGACTATTGACCATTGCCAAAACATTGGGGCAGTCCCCCTTAGTTGCAGGACTCCCAGCCCTGGCCAGACATGGTGTACTCCTGCAGCTAGGAGGCCCTCCTACACATGCAAATTAAAGTTCAATGGTAACCAGCTATAAAGTTAGTACATATTTTCAAGTTCCAACTTTATAGCTGGTTGGAACTTTTTTATCCTGTGATATCTACTTAACATGTGCAAAGTAATATCTCTTGTTTTTTGCCATGACAAGGAGTAAAGCGATCCTTTCACATGGTAGTTTAGAGTGATGTTCTAGCCATAATTGTCTAGGAATTCTGCAGGAGGCAATGTTTATTTTTTGGTGGGGGGTGATTTGTTTTATTGAATCAGCTGCATAGTTAGGATAAAGTTAGACAAGCTTTCAAATGCACTGCATTTCTTTTCAGGTATGAAGCTTGATTACTGGAAGATCAAGACCTATCAGAAGGCATAAGGTTATCATCCCCTGTATTGTGTAAGTTTTATTTATTTATTTATTTATTTATTTTTAATTTACTGATATCTTTTATTGGACAAGCTGTACCACTGGAATTTTTTCCTGCACACTATTGGTGGTGATGACCATCCTCCCTTCTGATAGGTCCTGACCTCCCAGTAATCAAGCTTTTTTTTTTTTTGCTAATTGTTTGTGGCCGACCCCTGAGACTATACCCACTGTTCTTACCAATCCTTTGCTTGCTTTCCTCCTCAGACAGAATGAATGCCTTGCATTCAAAAGTTTTTCAGCTGGTTCAATAAAAGATATCCATAATATCCTTTGCTCTCTATATGGTACTTTTTCATTTACATCAACTTCAAGTCTGCCCTATTAATCTTGCTGAGTAATTAATGAAATTTCACTAAATCATAAAGCATAAATAACATGTTTCTCAATCCTAATTTAAGTCTTTTTAGTCAAGTTGTGTATTAGCTGTTCTCCAATATCAACAATTTCGGCACATTCACAGACAAGCTGTATTGAAATTTAAACTCTTGGCTTGCTGCTCAACATCTCTGAATAACATCTCTGAGCTAGTGTAGTTGTTAAGGCTGTGCAAAGCTTCAGTCCCTGATTGAATCTGGTGGAGATTCAGCCAGATTCACTGGCCAAATCTCCAAATCCAAATTGAATCATATGCCCTCTTAATCTCTCCAAATTGATTTGGAGCCCCCCGAATCAATTCGGAGAGATTCAGACATAAAGGCAGCTTTAAATGGTTTTTCTACGTACGTCTAGGTAGCAGGGGCTCATGAATGCTGTGATGCTGGGGCAGATGGAGCATCCCACAGAAGCGTGGGGGGCTCCCCAGCATGCTCAGCAGTAGACCCAGAAGTGGAATTACTTCTGGTCCACTTCCAGGTCCACTGGGGAGCGTGCTGGGAGGTCCCCCTGTGCCCCCTCCCCCCCGCCCCCGCTCATTGACTGGTGCCTCCTGGTTCTGGGAAAGGCACCCAGGATCTTCCTGTGGCTGATCACCAAGCCAAGAGGGGGCACCAGGGGGGCCCCCCAGCATGCTCCCCGGCAGTCCCAGAAGTCTAGTGGAAGTACTTCCAAGTACTGGAAGTACTTCCAGTCCACTTCCGGGTTTGCTGCTGAACACACTGGAGAGCTCCCTGCACTGCTGTGGGATGCACCACAGAAATCACGAGCCATGCTGCTACCTAAAGGTATGTAGAAAAAGAACTTTTAAAGCTGTGCCTGTGTCTGAGAATCAGCATCGAATTATCAGATTTGGATTCGGCTGAATCAAATTGGGGACAGTGATCTAAATCAACAGATCGAATCACTGTCCCTGATTCGGGCCGAATCCGAATCCAAAATGAATAGGGCCCATTTTGCACACCCCTAGTAGTTGTGCATTGCTCTGCAATACACTTTACTTTTATTGTACATGTTTTTTCAATAAAAACTCAAATTTACTTTTTTTTTCATTTGATATTCTTTATTGCTACTTTTCTCCACTGCCATTTTTACTGTCTTGGAGGCTAATCATAGGAAAAAACAATAAAACCATAATAAAATAATATGTTTCATAATATTAGAAATGCAAAATACAGTATGCCACTTTTGGTCCTCAGGCCAGGTATAGACATTACACATAAATGAGTCTACCAATGTAAACCAAAAACACAGTACACATTACCAGAAACCAACCTAAACCTGTAACAGAACAGAAGTTCAATGCACATGGGCTGGTTTAAAAATAGCAGAACCTGGTGTAAGATAGACCTGCATGGATGTAGTATCCAACTTAACTGGTTTAGGTTAGACCAGTATATTGAACTTTTGTACCAGGTCCTCTTCTGACACAAGTTAGGTTGCAGTCTGCTGGCATAGCAGGTGCCTTTGTCACTTCCCCACTTCCTCCCTCACATGAGATGTCAGCCACAGGCAGGGAATAGGAGAAGTGGGTAAGGGACCAGCTATAGCTCTGTATTTGTCTATGTTTATACAATATTCTGAGACAGAGGAGAGTGATGCTCTGCAGAAGAAAGGAACAGGGCCCTTGGAGCTCAGGCTTGCAGCAGAGCTGGGTAGGGAAGGCAGAGCAAGCAGTAGCTGTGGTCTGTTGTGCCCTGTGTGCATAAGGCTCGGTTGAGCCATGGCATGATGGGGCAGGGAGAAGAGCTGCAGCCACCCCCTCCTCAAGTCACTGCTGCTGGTACTGGTGCTCAGTGGGGTGCAGGACATAGGTGTGTGAGTGTGCGTTAGTACTGCTGGCATAGGCATTGTTTCCTAAGGTCACTCAGCCAGCTCTGCTGCTGTGGCGGCTGGCACTGTTGCTCTCAAACTTGTCATAGTTATTCACAGCTCTCCATGTGACACAGTGGCTGCCCACACAATGCGGAGCTAGGATCCCTGCCACACCTTGGCTAAGACTCAAGGACAGGAACACACACACACACACACAATCCTCAGCTGTTTAAGTCCTTGTCTGTGTGGCAGAAGGCCACCTCTGTTTCTCCCCAAAAACTCTGCTCTGTGACAATTTGGTTAAGATGGGCCCTGCAGAGGGTACACAACTTACCCTATCTCTTTAGGTAACCTGAGCTGGATACATTCCTGAGGGAGGGGGGAAACCTGCTCCCTCTGCCTACGTGACTGGCATCATATACCTGGGTGAGGGGCTTGGACTCCCTGGGGAGCTAGGAACTGCCAGTCTGTCCAGCAACTAGTGATGTATTTCAAACTGGTTGGCTGGCAGCCAACAGGTGCTGGCCTCCATTGGACCAGGTAAATGAAGTAATAAGGGCTATATAAGTTAAGGACATCATAGCCAAGTCTGCCTTTATCACATCTGTGGGACTATATGAGTTTACAGTTTTACCTTTCAGTATGCGCAACTCTCCCACATCTTTTCAAAGACTGATTAATAACCTGTTACAAGAATGTGAGCAGTTTGCCATGGCTTACATCGATGGCATCGCCATCTTCAGTCAGGACTTTGAATCGCACCTGATTCATCTGACCACTGTGTTAGGCAAGATCAAGCAAGCTGGTCTTATTGTGAAAGCCAAAAAATGCCAGCGGGCACTATCTGAAGTTGTATATTTAGGACATCATGTAGGTGGAGGTCATATTGCTGCCTTGTGGGACAAGATCGAGGCCATTAGAGACTAGCCACCTCCACAAGATCTTGGACAGTATCATCAAGGAGCACATCTGTGGAGGGGCTGCAGGGGAGATCATGCTCAGCGACAATCAGCATGGGTTCATCAAAGGCAGGTCCTGCCTGACCAACCCGATTGCCTTTTATGACCCAAGCCTTGGATGATGGTGTCACTGTGGACGTAGTCTTTTTAGATTTTAAGAAGTCCTTTGACACTGTCTCTCACCCCAACCTCACCAATAAATTAAGTGACTGTGACATTGATGCCTGCACAATTGGATGGGTAAAAAATTGGCTGATGGAGCGCACCCAGAGAGTAGTGATGGATGGGTTTTACTCAACCTGGTGAGATGTGGGCAGTGGGGTCCCCCAGGGCTTGGTCCTCGGGCCTGCACTGTTTAACATCTTCATCAGCAACTTGGACAAGGGGGTGGAAAGCATGCTGTCCAAGTTTGCTGATGACACTAAGATGTGGGGAGAGGTGGACACACTTGAAGGGAGAGAGAGGCTGCAAATAGATTTAGACAGACTACAAAAGTGGGCAGATGAGAATAGAGTGAGGTTCAATGTATCCAGCTCAGGTTACCTAAAGAGATAGGGTAAGGTGTGTACCCTCTGCAGGGTCCATCTTAACCAAATTGACACAGAGCAGAGTTTTGGGGGAGAAACACAGGTGGCCTTCTGCCACAGCCTCTAATAATTCATAGCACATGCCCCTTCCTACCCCTCAAGCTTCTGCAAAGTCCCTTGGGCACAGGGAGGGGTGGGGTGCCAGAAGCCTCCTTCCCAGGTCCCATAATTGCTTGGTTCTCTAGCTTCCAGATGAGTACTCCTGATGAGTCTGGGAGGGGTGGGGATGGGTGAGAGACAGCTCCCACCACACATGCAGGGGCTGGCTGGCTTGTCTCCTTCACACATGTTTGCATGGACCAGGGCTGGCCAAGAGCAGGACATTCTGTGGGCTCCACTTAAGAAGCTGGGGAAATATGGGGTAGGAGGGAGGGGGACTTAGAGATAGCCTTCTGGTGAGGTGGTGGAGCCAAGCGTGAGGAAACAGGAAATAAACCCCAACGACCTGACCTCCCATTGATTAGCATGAGCTTTGAATCAGGCCCAGAATAATTTGGGGGAAAGGTGAGTTTAAACGCAGGGAACTGAGATTGCAGGACCACAGTGACTATGGCCACCAGACACGGTCAAGTCACAAGGATGTGGGTGGCAATGTGAAGGTGGGGAAGGGGAAGGAGGGCTGAGGGGGAAACCCTCCTGCCTACAGGACAACCACAGCTGCTCTCAGCCCTCTCGCTCCATTTGCAATGAAGCCACACTGCAAAGAGGTTGAGAGCATGTCAGAAGTAAGTGCAATTGGGTTTAAGAGGGTGCCTCCCATGGTCCTACCCCAGACAAAGCCCAGGGACCCCCATGACATCCCATGTGGGGACAAACACGCCTCCTTCTGCTGGCTGTCTGCAGCTGCCAGCTGCCAGACAGATAACAGGGCAGTACGGGGAGGCATGCCAGGCAGCCCATCAGGGTAGCCTCTCAGCTGCATTTGGCTGCCCTTGGCAGTCTTCTGAATGCTGAGATGTATGCAGCAGCACTTTAGGGTGCTGGCCTGGCCAGTGCAGGTAGCTTTTGTGGCCCTTCTCCCATGAAAGAGTGAGCTTGTGTTCTGTTTGGTCCTGAAATAACATAGTTGGCTTAGGGAAAACCATGTAAATTAGTTTGAATCTGCCTCAGGCTTTTTGAATGTCTGTACCTCACCTTCCTGGTCAGGATGGTTTCATTCCTCTATTCCACCAGGTATGGAAGCTATTTGAAATTTAGCAACTGCTTGTGTCTGTGACTTCTTTACCATTTATACCACCTTGACTTTTTTTTCCCTTTTTGCTATGTGACTATGGCAGGTAATGTGCTATGTAACTTTACTGTTCTATGCTGTTGTTTCAGCTGTATCAAAAGTACCAATATACTTAATGCTGAGATCAACACAATCAACTCTGGTTAGAGGACTCTAAATGCCTCAACCACTTCAAATTGCATCAGGTTGAAACTTGATAAATGAGCTGTCATCCTAAATGCATTTTGTTTTCAGAAACATGGCCCCCAAATCAATAAGCTATTTAAAAAAAATATGGAGTGGCAAACACCTAATTGTATATTCTAGTTTAGTCTCAGATTTGACAAGACCTACCTAATCTTGTCAGATTTTTTTTAAAATGCTAGCACTGTATAAATATGTGCTGATGCTTTTTTATGTATATAAAAAAATCTGCTTGCTATAAAAATTTTTTGATATGTGCAAAACACTAAACTATTTTAAAATACATTACCTGTGACAGTGTGTAACAACTGTGTTCTAACTATGCTAACTGTCCATTCATTTAACTACATTTTAATAGTGCAATTCATATCTATATCATAATCAAATAAATACATGCTTAAGCATTAATAGATGTTCATGTAGCAGTCTATTTTCACAAAGAAAAGATATGTTGGAATCAGCTGGCAATTTCTCAAGGTACCAAAATCCTATGGTGTCAAGACTATTGCCTTCCTTTGAGGGTTTTGGCTTTTTTAAGGGGGAGAAGGGGTAGGCATTGAGAACCAGGAATACATGCACAGATCTACAAACTTCTCAATTTGCAGACCCTTAGAGTTTCTACACAAAGTCCTAGTAGGCAGACATTTTCTGAGAAGACATATCATATTATACTTAAAGAAATTTTATTTCATTCTACCCACATTTGTAGAGATTTATCCAATTTGAGACATCCTTGTAGGTGCATATGTCTCTATTCAGCTGTCCACAAGCAGTATTCTTACCCAGCCATCCCCCCTTGTCATTGTTTCTGTTGTTCTCATCAGGTGTTATTGATATGTGGCAGTGCTGAAGTCTCAGGAATTACAGTGCTGGCAAAATTCAGTCAGGAGATCTGAACACCAATCTTGATTTAAAGAATTGCCATAGGCTTGGCTTGGTGGCAAAGCCTTAGCCAGGTTTATTGTCTATAAGGTATGGCCCTAACACTTGTGATGTAACAGACAAGATGTTAACATATGTATGCCTGTGACAAGGTATTGGCACAACACCACATAGGCTCCCCTAGGCCAATACAAAGTTTCCATATTTCCAATTCTTCTTTTACACAATGCTCAAGAGAAATTACCTATTATATTATACCTGTATTTTGAATATCTTAAACCATCCTGTGCCAAGGCTTGTTTCACATCCTGATCTGGGTGTTCCCATTCCAGCCTTATTATCTTGGTACTAGACTATCCTACACCTTGCCCAACCATCTCCCCTTCCCATCTTCTGGCAGGAAGGCACATCTGGCCCACATGCCAAGTTTTGTTTATGTAAGAAGTTCATGAATCAGTCAGGTTTGCAGGTCAGGCCTACTAGGGTGGACACTGATGCATCCTCAGAATATAGAACATCCCCTTGGTAAGGGGCAGGACCACCACCTCCATTGACCAATCAGTGGTGAGGGTCAGGTCCATAGCCTCCTTGGCCAATCAGCAGTGAAGGGTGGGACCACCAGGCCCCTTGGCCAATTAGCAGCAAGGGGTGAGGCCACCACAAAAAGACCACAGAAAGACTATTCGGTCCATGAACCCCACACTGATGAATGCATGTCACCCTCTGAAATGGGAGAGAACAAGTGCCATTCTGTCCAGACAGTCCAGCCTTGAGAGAATATGGCATGGCACATGTGAGGCTCGAGTACCCCTGCCCTTCACTGCAATTTGGCCTCATTCCAGCCCAGCTCCATGCTTGGGAGCCAGCAGCACACACTGCAGAGGGACCTAACATACCCCCATCAGCATTCAGCACAGACACTGAGCTCCTGGGAATCTTGCCTGGTCACATTCTGGTCAGAGCTGGGCTTAGTGGAGTTGGTGGGTGATGGATGCCTGTGGCAATGCAGCCAGCTGCCCAGCGGGACCTCCCCTTCCTTCCCCAGGAGACAAAAAAGGTTTGCCTGTCCCACAGGACAAATAATGGCTTAATAAGATGGTCCACTTGGCTAGGAGCCTAGAGGCCCTTCTGCCCAAAGTTCACCCTCCTTGCACAGCAAGGAAGCACAGAGACTCACCGGGCTGCTCTGTGAGTGTGAAGATGGTAACAAGAACCTCCTTCCAGTCCCACCGGCATTGCAGCAGATACGCACAGGGCTCCACCTGCCTGCTGTCAATGCCATTACCTTGTGCCGAGGCAGCACAGGGAGGGGTGTGTGCAGACCAACTGCCTGGCCCTGGTGGCTCAGCTGCCCCTGGGGCCCAGGCCCACACACGTAGCCTAAGGTCAGGGAGCTCAGGCATGCAACAGTATTTCAGCTCTTGCTGTGCCTGCATAATTGCATATGCGCTGCAGCCATGGGTCCTCACACAGGCACAAGGGACCAGCCTCTGGAATCCTCCACCCTGCTTCTCCTGGCTGTGCACCACCCTCTCTCTAAGCACAGTCAATCGAATCATGAGGACAAATGACTGACATGCATTTCCACAGATAAATTGAAAAATAGGATTTTCTTCAGTCCAGTCCTCACTCAGGAACAGAGAGGGGACAAAGGATTTAAAAACAGGATGGTCCAGTATAAAACAGGCCTACTCTGGCCAAAGCTTTGCAAAGACCTTTGTGTAAGCGGTATATATTCTACAAGGTCCCAGCAAGACCGACACCCCCACCCTGCAAAGCAATTAAATAAATCTTTACATTAGAGGCTGACAGTGTTTTCTGACAGGGGCCAGAGTGGCCAAGCTTAGGTCTGGGAAAGGTTGGCACTAGGACCCAACAACCTCCACTGCTTCTTCCTGCCAACTAGATGTAGCAAGACACAGACAGAGCCCATGCTGCCCAACTGCAGCATGGTGAACAGAGTCCCCTGGAGCCTCAGGCACTCACTGTGGCATAGTGCAGAGAGCTCTCTGCTGCTGGAGCCCCAGATCTCTGACATTGATGTGGCACAGGGAGAGCCCTCAGCTGCCAAATAACACCAGCGCCATGGGTCTATGGCTGAATCCAAAGTTTTGTGGGCCAGATCCCACCCATGGGCTGTAGGTTGCCCATCCCTGCTTTACATAGTATACTAGGTTATATTTATCAAGCCTAAACTGCATTCACTTTAAATCTTATGAAGTTTCCAGGAGTCTTCTTTCATATGTACTTATCTAAATAATTTCACTGTCTCATATGGCTTTATACTTCCAATCAAAATAATCATCAAATATATAAGCAACTGTCCCTTTGGCATCCTACTGCATTTTTTTTTCTATATTGGAAATGGACAATGTATGACTAGAACATAAAGACAATTATTTATAAAAGGAAAGGGGAACTTATATTTAATCATTATTCTTGCCAGGACATGGGATGGAATAGGACAAATGGAAATGAATTTCTTCCCTAGGAGGAGCATAAAGACAGAGTTCAATAAACTACAAATTGAATTATAGCAGCTGCATTAATTTTACTTTGTTCACAGTCCTCTTAATCTTACTCAGTTTACTAGAATGACGGATTTGATGAGGCTAATAGTGATGCACAAATTATCCTAATCAGAGAAACTGCTATATAATGAGTTACCTTGAAAGCAGGAAGATGCAGGTGTCAATTCACTATTTAAAAGGCAACTGTAAAATTAAAAAGGTCAAAGCATTGCATAACAAGATTTCAAAAACACTTTTAGAAAATGCTAAAATAAGAGTGATTTGGAGAACTGTAAATGATAATCCTTGGGTTAATATAAATATTTATATATGCATTATTTAGCACCCAATTTTTAACAGAAACTTTGCAAATTAATAAGAAAACAAGATTTTAGGCCAAGGTTCTTACAGTTGAAGGCACAAGTCAGAGGAGTTGTTTTTCATGCTGTAATCTTTGTATCCATGTCAATAAGGAGCCCTATTGAAGTAAACGATCTGCCAGCAAGAAACATCTCATAGGATCGGATCAGACACTGCACAAATAAGAGGGAGATGAAGGAGAGAGCAAAGGATGTTATGAAAACCAAAGAAATTGAGCAGTAAAAATTAATACAGATACTATTTGTTCCAGGCTTGTTTGTTGCTTTCATTTTCTTCTATGTTGACTTTATAACATTGATTGTGTTAGTACTTCAAGGAGGGACAGCTAGGTTCATAGGTTTATGGATAGAAGAGAGGTTACATGCCTCCAGTTCTTTGAGTCAATTGACAGCATATCCATACATTTGCTGGAAGCCCATGTGCTTTCCAAGCGTGGAGATCTATGCTGTCAAGACTTGAAGGAGAAATGTGCTTTAATGATCAGTTTAAAGAAGAAGAGAGAGAAGCCATGTCAGATCGGGTCAAAGTCTGCCCTTTAAGGCATACAGGATAACATAGATGAGGACAACGAGACAGGAAAAGTTCTTAAACCTCAGTGGTAGCACAGAATGTAGTTTGTGAAATGTTCACCTTGTCACTACATAAAAGTAAAATCAGTTACATGGTCCCAAAAGTTATAGGCATTTTTTTTCTTTCTATGTTAAAATTTTACAGCTTTAATGTAGTTGTAAGCTGTAAGAAACAACAATATGTACTGGCCTGGCTAGCAAAAAGATATTCTTTGTCTATTCACTATACCTTAGAAATTGATGATTAAAAAAACAACCAACCAAACAAAAAAGAAAGACCCCTCAGGGGTATGATTTGGAAATGGAATATTAGTACTACACATCAGGACTTGCTACGATCTGGCTGCTGAAAGAAAATCACTTCTGTGCTACACAAGCTTCATATTAAAAGAACAGTCTTAGGAACTTCAATGCAGCAGTAGGTGAAAGTATGGTAATATCTTCTGGGCTATGGAGCAGTCTGCTTGAGGTTTTTTGGGGAAGCAAAAAAGCACAAGAAGAAAAAAAAGACACAATTTCTTCCAAAATTATCTCTACTATTTTATGCTTGGTGCGTCATTCCATGTATTCTATGTTTTTAATGAAGTGTCTGAGTAACATTTAAAGATAATTAGGCATATCAGATTTTTTTTTTTATTATTACTATTTAGTACAGAAATATACTACTCTGTTGGTGCTCACTAAATGATAATATCTGAGACAACATAGTATCTGAGGTAAGAAATATGAATATTACAACCAGTACAAGCAGAATGTAAATAGAGTAGAGCAGCATTTTGATTTTGAAGTTTGGTAAAGCATCCCACATATATCTCTTCCACGATATCGTAAGTAAAGAAAGAGTTTCTTGTGGAGTAAGACACTGGCCTGGGGCTTATGAAATATGATGTAATTTCTAGTTCTACTAGTTCTCTGCAAATCATTTCATATGTCTGTGCCTCTGTTTTTCATCTATAAAATTGGGAATTGAATGGTTTCCTAATTCAATAGGGTGCTGTGAGGATACATCCAACAACGCAAGGCAGGCACTGAGACAGTGGAGTTATGGGTACTGTATGACTACAATCAAAAGGTTGTAGCACAGTAAGCAGCAATGAAAACATGTTAAAATATATTTCCACTGGATATAATAATAATTATTTTTTAAATTATACATATCAACATTTCATGATATTTCATTATATACTTCATAAATATCTTCATTACAGGTATAGTATATTTTACATTAACATATATATTTCATTTCAAAGAAGAAATAATAACATTACTGCCCCCCCTGCCCCCCCTCCCCAGTTTCAAGCATTTTGTTCCGGTATATTTGCATGGTTGGACTCTTTATTATGGAGAAAGTATATTTTTTTGTCCATGGCAAATTAAAAAAAAAAAAAAAAGTTAAAGGGACTTTGCTAAAATGCTTGAAACAAGTGATCCCTTTTAGACACAGAACACAATTAGGAAGGTATATACAGTGATAGTGTCTTCCTATTTGTCTTCATAGCAAATACTATGGTACCAAAGATCCCTGAATTTGACTGAATCCTCTGGATTTTACTATTCTAATAACAATAATGTGTGAAAGAAAATACATCTAGCAACATGATATATGACAAACCTTGCAAAGAACATTCTGTACATTTTGGGCATGTCTATATGTGCATTTACTCCAGCTTAAATTTACTGCACAGTAAATTACTGCACAGTAAGTGGGAATAGGCCAGCATCTACACATGCAGGAGTGTAGTCCCTGACTTTAGTCCCAAGTCAGTCCACACACAGTGTTACTGTGCAGTAAGGCATCTACATATGCACTACTATGCAGTAACTAATCAGGCATAAATTTGATACCTGCATAATGTAGATACCAAAATTACACTCAAGCCAACATAAGTCACCATATTTACTGTGCAGTATGGGCATACACATGTAGACACATGCCCATACTATGCAGTGATTTTGGTTACTGTGCAGTAAATGTGTATGTGTAGACGTGCCCTCTGTATTCAACACTGCTCCTATGTTTTTTTGTCTCAGTGTAATTCTCTAAGTGGTCTCCCAGCATTGTTTAGTCTTCTAGCCCATTTTTCATCTGCTACATTAGACTTTGAATTAGCTTTTGAATTTAATAGCCAAAGAGAAAATATGCGTGCACATACATATTTTTATGTACATGTATCTGTGCATGTATGCACATGTACACATGCGTGCATGTGCACACGCGCACACACACATGCACACACACACAGAGTTGAAGGTCTACGGCTATCTCTGTTCATTGTTTATAATAATCTTTTTTTCAGTTATTAAGGGCTCATCCTCAGGGAAAAGGTGACTTGATTGTTTTGTTTAAAATGTGGATCAAGTAGTGTTGCCAAGATTTATATTTTTTATTCCAGCATTTTAATTGCTCATCTGTCTGTGGAAAATCTGAGAGCTATGTCTGCCAGCAAATAAACCCAAATTTGTTCTTTTGATTTGCTAATTAATTTCCATATTCATTTTACTGTGATGTGTCGATACTGTACCTGATTTCTGGCAGTACCCTGATTACATGTGGTTCAGGTGTAACATCTTTCTAAGTAAAGTCAGTCAAATATGCTTCATTAGCTCAAGTGTGGTGAGGAGTCTTTAAAACCTGAGGATGAAGAGAGGCTGAAAAAATCATTTAAGTATAGTATTTTTTGTCTTAGTAAGTATCTTTGGATGGTTCAATGATTAAATCAAAGGAAATGGAATCTGAAGTACTTAATGAAATTCCTGGTTATCTACTACCTGTTTGTAGCTTCTTGAGAAATGCATTTTTCAAAGATTCATGGATTTTAATGCCAGACAACCAAAGAGTTAAAATTCCAAAATACTAAAAGAATACAGATTAGGTTCAAAGCTAATCTTATAGTTGAGAAGTAAAAGAACAAGTTAGAAATAAAAACAGCAAGCAGAAAAGAAAAGAAAGTAGATCGGGGTGGTAAATTTGCCACATAGGTGCCGCAAGTGGCACAGGCAGTCTCTGCATATGGTGCATGGCAGTTCAGGGTAGGAGCAGGAAACACAATGGGAAAAAGCATAAAACAAAGCAGCAAATCAAGCAGGGAGTGCAAGAATGGGAAGAGAAAACAGAGCAGCAAATTGGGGAGGGCAAGAGAATCTCAATGGGATTTAGAGAGGCTGCAGGACTAATTTGTAGCATACTTGCCAAAAAGGGTGGCCCCCAGTGGAATAGATAGTGACCCAAATAAATTAGAATTTGTGAAGTATAAAAAAAATAGAGAAGGGAAATTTAAAAGTCCATGGAAAATGCATGGTTAGCCATACTATGAACAGTCAATAGGCATTTTTAAGTATATAAGGAATAAAGGAAATCCTGAATAGTAGAGGCCCATTACTAAACGAAGTAGAGGCCCATTACTAAAAGTTGTAAAACTGTTTTAAAAGCTTCGGAAAATAAAGAAGCGTTCGGTAATTATTTTTATCCTACCTTTGGAAAAATATGCATTCATATCATGTGAGGATTTTAACATATCCATGATTTAGTTTCATTTTCTAGGAACATAAACAAAGCTTTATGATGGTCAGTTCATCAATGCCTTAAAAGTACTTTCAGAATTTTAAATAGAATTTATCAAATAAAGTCAAATTCATAAAATGTGCAATCACTTCAGAATACATGGATTCCAGTAACACAGGTGGCACTGAATGCAGAAAGTGATCACAGATAGACAAGTTATAGCTATTTTTTGTCCTAACTAAATATATATCTTGTAGTACTAGAATGTGACTGGTAAACATCCATCATTACTTAAACCTGATTCCTTAGGTGTGGGATCTCTTGGGAAAATTTAGAAACCTGGTCAAGTTCTGTGCTCTGTTTCACATAGTGCAGGGCAATGTTTATGTTAATCTGCTTTCAGAAAATCAGGGAAGGGAAACCATGTTCATTGGGAAGCGTCACTCATCAATTTTAGCAGTAATCAACAATAAAAACATGTGTCACAGTGAGGTGGGAGCTGACAGACCCAGAAGACTTGCTGCTTTGTATTTATATGAGCTGGACTGTAACCATATAATTAGTATCACACACACAACAGGGAAAGTTACAGAAAGAGACAGCTGACATGAATATGTATAGACAAAATATAAGGATAATGGCTGAAATGTTAAAGTAACATGGGAATATAAAAGATTCATATTTACACTATGAATCACATTAAGGCTTTACTTGATATTCAAGAGATCAATCAATATCTTTCAAGAGCATAGATTTTAAGACCTTTAGGCTTATGGTCTTGCCTCTCTCCTGTCCTCTCCTCTGTTTTATTGAAAAAGAGAAATGATCTTTAATCTTTTTTTTTTTTTTGGATGGAAAGACACTACACAACCATGAGGAAATAGGATGACCTAGAGTTTACAAGAATCAAGTGAAAATATCAGAAGGAAGAGAAGGGAAATTCATTGTTAGTCTTAGACACAAAAGGAAAACAGTGATGAAGGGTGGGGGTGAGGGGGGAGATAAAAGTATTTCTGTGCCAAGCTGAGACATTTGTATCTAGTTTGCTCTCTTTTGTATGACTTCTCCCCTTTATTAGCCAACTCATATAACATACTTGTATTATAAGTTCAGGCTTAGAAAGATATAACATTAAAAATAAA